TCAGTTTAAGAATTGGGAGCCGGTTATAGAATAATTGTTATACCGTCAACACTGATGCCTTGTGAATCCTTATACCTGCCTCGGTCATGCATAATTTCCATTTACTTGCCTTGGTCTTCCAATTGGTGCAAATATGGAGTTAGCTAAGAATTAGGAGTCGGTTATAGAGAAATGTAAGTGTAGGTTATCTAGTTGGAAAGCTAGAAATCTATCTTTTGGTGGGAGGCTTACCTTAATTAAATCAGTTTTGAGTAGTCTTCCATTATATTACTTCTCTATCTTTAAGGCCCCACAAAAAGTTGTTGACGTGCTTGAAGCTTTGAGGAGAAGATTCCTTTGGGGTGGTGATATGGAGAAAAGAAAGATTTGTTGGGTTGTCTGGAAATATATATTTAAACCTAAGAAGCATGGCGGCTTAGGTGTGGGCTGTTTAAAAACCTGTAATGTAGCTCTTCTCGTGAAATGGATTTGGAGGTTAAAATGTGAGTCGAATGTTTTTTGGTCGAGGTGTTTTATTGCGATGCACAAGCTAGTTGTATGTGATGACACACCTCTTGCAAAGAAAGGGTTACCAGGTATATGGTTAGTGATTACCAAATTGAATGATGACCTTATGTAGATTGTGATAGATTTCCATCATCTTATTATGTGTGTGGTTGGTGTTTGAGATAAAACTAGATTCTGGAAGGATAAGTGGCTCACTTAAATGCCAGTAAAAGTATCTTTTCCATCTTAGTATAAGATTGAAACTAATAAGAATTGCATGGTTGAGTAAAAAAAATATGCTCTAATGATCCGATTGTTCTATGGCAGTGGTCCTTTTCTAGACAGGTAAGACAAGGGTGTGAGACTATTGAATTTGTGGAGCTGTCAAACAAGCTTGTAAATTTCCAGTTCTCGGATAAGCCTGAGTCTTGGCAATGGAAGGTGGATTCAGTTGGTTGCTTCTTTGTGCAGTCTATGAGGAAGTTGGTGTTAGAGTTAAAAAATATTGACAATGGGACTTGTGTTTGTGTGGTTAGCTGGATTCCTAACTGTCACACCCTCAAACCAGGACGGCGAAAACATTCGGGGGCGGAGGACGTCAAGTATCACAACCATTGTATAATAGCAATCAAAGTAAACACAATCATTACGTTGATAGAATAGTATTTACATTGTGTTCAAACATTGTTTGTATGACACCAAAGTATATAGCAAAATTATGAAAGACGCGACTCTACAAAGCTCCGTCTTCTCAAAACCTGTGGGTGTACCTGTCTACTGGTTCCCTGAGAATACAAGTGATTTTGAAAGTGTATCAACATTTAAGTTGGTGAGTTCATACGCATGTTTGTATTTGAAATCTGTCATTTGTTCCTTGAAAATGTAAGTATGTTTTCCCATAAAATCCTATATTTTCTTTTGTAATGTTATTGTACCTTAAGATAGTATAATTTAGTTTTAATTCTCATAAAACCATGAAAAGTATGTTTTCTCTGTACTGGAATAGTATTCTATGTTTGTACTTGTATAAAAACTCTGTAATTGTAAGTACCTGGTTTCACCAACTGTATTGTAAAATACTGTATTATAATTTCATTATTAATAAAACTATGTGAAGTTGTTTACTTATTCATACACTAATCGTATTGTTCAATACCAAATTGTGAGTTATTATAACCATACTTGATGACCTAAGATGGCCTGAAAATCACTTTGAAATGAATAATTGTATATATGATCCATAAACTATACCTAATATAGTTTATATGTTTGTTACTGTAGTAAAATCTGAACGTAGTACTAATAGTACTTATGTTCCATAAACTATACCAATTATAGTTTATATGTTCGTTTGTATAGTATCTCTGTATTTAGTAACAATGATATACGTGTTCCATAAACTATACCTATTATAATTTATAAGTATGTTCTTGTATCTTTTCTTGAATTAGTAGAATAGTAAGGATGTTCCATAAACTATACCTGTTATAGTTTATAAGTGTGTTCCGTTTGCAATGAAAGTATTTCTGAAAATTCTCCTTTTCTCAGCATGTTACAAATGTTTAAAGTTTTATACTCATATATCAATAGGGCATATATAATTGAAATTAAAAAGACAGTCGGACAAGTGAATTTACCCTAAGCCCACAACCAAACAAGGAACAAGAGTTAAGGCAAAAACACCAGTCCTAAGCCTGTTGAATCTCATATATATATATATATATATATATATATATATATATATATATATATATATATATATATATATATATATGTTTTGGTAAAAACAATAGTTGAAACAGTTGAAATAATTTAGAAAAGCTTGATACAGTTTGAAATGGTTGGAAACGTCTGAATCGTTAGAAATCATTTGGATGTTAACACAAAATTTAATTGTATTGTACTTGTATTCCCCCCCCCCTAAAAACATAGAAAAATAATGAAAACATAGGGGTATGAACAAACCTCGAATGCGTTTTCTCTTTTGGATATGAAGTGGTAGCGGTGATCCCCGGGTTAAAACCCGTGTGCATAGTCGTATCCTAATAATAATTATACACGATATCGTATTTGAATTAATAAGATATTAATTTAAATAAATTAAATTATAAATTAAGTGTTAGACAACACTTAACTATATAAGAAATACTTACAAAAAATGTTAGGAATTAATTGATGAGGTTTCTTGGCGTTTTCGGTGTTCCAGGGGGTTTTCGGTGGGATATGAATATTTGGTGGTGTTCTTGGTGTTCTTGAGGAAAACTTGAAGATTTGAAGATTGTTCTTGATGTTCTTGGTGGAATTATGAAGATCTTGACAATATTTTATGAAGATATGAAGGTTGTCGGATGATACTTGAGAGCAAATTGAAGGTGTTTGCGACCTACAAGTTGAGAAATGAATTGGGTTAACGGTTGAAAACATATATATAAAAGAGGTTTTCGGCCTTAATGGGCCTTAAAACTTTTGTTTCCGGTCCTATATGACCGAAATCTCTCTTGATTTCGGTCACAAGGTCAAATGGAAAAGAGGTTTGTGGTTTTGAGTCAAAGGGAAAAGGGTTTGCGGTCATGACTTTCTAAAATGGGGTGTTTGCGGTTTGGACTTTATTAAAGCATGTGATTTCGGTTGGGATTTTAGGATAAGATTCCTTAGACCAAAATCAACATTTACACTTTGAATTCTCACATTTTAAGTTAAGTATTAAGCCTTTGGATGAACTAGTGTAACCTTTATTGACTTACACTAGCTTACTTAACATGGTTTTCCATATATATACTTACATGTAAGTTAAATGAACATGCACTCTAGGCATTCAAAGTTCTTATAACATCAATGAAATGATATAAATTCACATGTACTTGGTTAAGATTTTGACTTTTATTTGAATAAGTTTGACTTACATTGACTTGAAACAACGGGTTGTTACACTAACTAAGTTAATTGTTTTATATGGCGGGCTCTCAAGGACCGAATTCATACAACACCACATCTAGTTAAGATGGGCATTCATATTGATTCGACTCTATGCTGCTTATGTAACAATGATTCCGAATTAGACGGTTATCTTTTTTTAGGTGTTCGTTTTCCTCAGCCTTATGGTGTTAGTTTTGCTCATGGAGTAAGATATTATCTATTCCTCCTGAGATGCTTGATGTAATCACATCATCTCCTAACATGGGTAATAAATTGAAGCTTCTTGGTGCCTTATATTACACATTAGTATGTGAGATATGGAAGGAGAGGAATTCCCGAATTTTCAAAATGAAGTTTTGCTCCCCATTAAAGACAGTGTATAACTTTAAATTGATTTCGTACAACTGGATAAAACATCCGACCAAATATGAGGAATTTAAGTTGGCTAGATTGGTGTAATAATCATGTTTATTCCTTTTTCATGTAATTGATTGTGTATTTGTTCTTGCTAACTTGTTTTTTAATATAATCTTTGTTTGTTCTGCAAAAAAAAAATAAGAGTAAATTACACGAATAGTCCCTATAGTTTAGGGTAATTTACGCGTTTAGTCCTTAACTTATTTTTTTTAACTCGGAAGGTCCCTACATTTTGTTTTTATTACGCGCTTGGTCCCTGAGTTAGCTAAAAAGACTATTTTGCCCTTGAGTTTTTGATTTATTTAAATAAACACACCCCCAATCTCACCCCTTCACTTTATCTTACGTATCCCACAATTTTTTCCTATTTAAATAATAATTTTTTTAGGTAAGATAGAGACCAAACGTGTAAAAAAAACAAACAACATGGACCAAGCGCGTAATAAAAACAAATAGTAGAGACATTCCAAGTTAAAAAAATAAGTTAGAGACCAAACGCGCAAATTATCCAAACCATAGGGACTATTCGTGTAATTTACTCAAAAAAAAATTCAGTTTAAAAAATTAATCTCATTTTTATTTTAACACCTGCCGTCCGAATAATGAACATTGGTAATAAAATACTATTAGACTAAAGGGAGTGGAGATGTCAAAGGAAATGCTAAATATGTTATACCACTCCTTACCTTATGCTAAAAAAGGTGCTAAGAAATGGGTGCTATGTGTGTGGCGAGAAGAGAGAGGAGAGAGAAAGTATGAAGGTGTGTTGTGATTGGTTAATTTGTATTTTTTTATACATTTTAATTTTTTTTTTCTTCAAAATTAAACCTATTAAATTGTCACACTTCCACTCCCTATCTTTTTTATGCAAAACATGCTAAGCCTATGTGTCATTAAAAAAAACTAAAAAATCCTATGTGGCAACATACCAAGAGTGTTACCACTCATTTTAGCCTTATTATAATAATATTAGAATAAAATAATAATAATAATAATAACATTACTATATTAGGATTGTATTTATTTAGATTTAGATGAGAAGAGAAGTGGGAGGAGCTATGTATATATATGTAACCGATGTGTAGTCGTTACGTTACAGAGCTTCTCTGCGCCTGTCCATGGCGGTGGCCTACCAACACCCCTCTCTCTCTCTCTCTCTCTCTCTCTCTCTCTCTCTCTCTCTCTGCATCGAAGCTCTCAAACCTCTCCTCTCCTCTCGTCTTTTTCTTAATCTCTCTCTGAACACTGACTAAATTTGTTGCTTTTTTACTCAACAAACACAAGGACCCCTAGTATATCTCTTACCCCATGGACATTATTATATGCACATTCTCTCACATATACAGAGTAGCCATGTTTTTTCGCAATTCCACCACCTTTTCCCGCTCACTACCACCTTAAAAAAAGTATCTTTCTCCGACGAAAGCTTCTCTCACCTTTTTTGAATTTTGAGTGACGATCTAAGTAGATATGATAGGTACTGTTCGTTCGTTTGAAGATCATTTTCGTAATGTAAGTTCGTACTGTTTTATTTCGTTAATCGATGTTTTTCTTTTGGTTTTATGCTTCAACCCTTTTGGATTTAACGAAGAATGGGGAAAATCGAGGGATTTCTTTGTTTTTCTTCTTTCAAATCTCCCTTCTTGCTGGATTTATCTTATCCGATCTCTGAAATTTTCGTCTTTCTTATGTTTATCAATTAGTTCACTCTAGGTGTTTGTGAAAATGCCGATGTGGGGCTTTGCTTTCTTTTGTTTCAAATCTCATATGCTTGTCTCTGATTTGTTTCTTCTAATGAACTCTGAAATGAAAATCTATCTTACTCTTTTCACTAAATGAATCTCATGTAGATCAATTATTGAACACCCAAAAGATTTGAATTTCCGAACAAGATGGAAATCCAACGACACAAATCAACACCTCCCGGAAAACCCATTCTCAATCGACGCCTTACAAGAAGAGAAAGAAAACTTGCTCTGCTTGAAGATGTACGCCATTCCTCTCTCTCTCTCTCTCTCTCTCTCTCTCTCTCTCTCTCTCTCCTTTACACACAGAATCTCATTCCTTGATTGAAGATTAATCAATTTCGATCCTTTTTGGGATGAATTTATCGCATTTGCAGGTGGATAAACTGAAGAAAAAGTTAAGACAAGAAGAAAACGTACACAGAGCACTTGAAAGAGCTTTCAGTCGACGTTTAGGAACTTTACCTCATCTCCCTCCTTATCTTCCTCCACAGGTTTCTACTTTAAACCCAATCCCTCTTTATCTCTTCATTTTTTCTTCTTAATCGAATAAAATCAGCCCCAAATCTTTCCTTAAATTCATCACGTTTCAAATGGTTTATGCACATTCTCGCAAAGCTTTAAACTTTTCTACAAATTGAACTTGAATCGTGTAAAAATCATTTGACAGACTTTGGAGCTGTTAGCTGAAGTAGCTGTTCTTGAAGAAGAAGTTGTACGTTTGGAAGAAGAAGTAGTAAATTTCCGACAAGGTTTATATCAAGAAGCTGTTTATCTATCATCAAGAATCAGCATCGGGAATTCCGACAACGACCCATCAGAAGAACAATCTTCAAAAACTACAACTTTTAAGCAAAATGATGAATCAAAATCCTCGATTTCCCAAATTGAAGTCGAATTTGAAGCATCCAAACCACCTCAACATAAGCCCTTGAATTCCCTCTTGCGAAGTGGTTCATGTAGATCATCATACTCTCATAGAATCGGGAGCGATTTCTTGAATAGGGTTGTTGATACTGCTGATTTGAAGAAACTTGATTCGTCAATTGGAGATGATAGTGTTTTAGGTAAAGAAAATCGATCATCTTCTAATTCAAATAGCAAGATTACAAATTCTCCTGAAAAGATAACCAATGAAGTGCAAAATTCAGTGAAGAGATCTCCTCAAAATAAGCCTGAAATTGTCGAAAAACGCACTCCTAAACCACAGGTAACATCTGAGATCTCAATCATGTTTTTTTTTATAATTTCTTTTATCATCTTCAAATCTTTTTTATAAAAAAAACGATTTAACTTATATAATCACATTCACATTACTACTACAGAATAGATTAATGGATCAAGAAAGGGCACAAGAAAGTTGTTCAAGTTCATCTTCAAGTGATAGAATCATGGAAGCAGAAAGCGAATGCAACAAAATATCTGAAAATGTTTTAAACTGTTTGATTGGAATCTTTTTAAGATTAAGCAAATTGAAAGCAAAAACAATGGATGCTGAAGCTTTTTCAAATCTAATGACATTGGATTTGACTGGAGTTGACCGAGGACCTGGTTTTAGGGATCCTTATGGTGTTTGTTTGAAATCTAGAAAGAGAGATATTGGTCCTTATAAAGATCTTTTTGCAATTGAATCTGGATCGATTGATTTTAAAAAGAAAAAGAATGCATCCCTTTTGATTCGTAGACTCAAGTAAGTTCTTCAATTGTATATTTTATAAAAAGTTTCTTGATTATTAATTTATTATAATTGAATGTTTGTTTCATTGATTATGTGTTTAGGCTTCTTCTTGAGAAATTAGCTTCTGTTAACTTAGAGGGATTGATGACACATCAGCAAAAGCTCGCGTTTTGGATAAATGTTTACAATATTTGTATGATGAATGTAAGCATTTCTTATATTTTCTTACTTTTTTTTAACCAAAAAAAAAAAGGGCAATTATGAAAAATATTGTTTGTAAAATGATAGGCTTATTTAGAGCATGGAATGCCTGAGAGTCCTGAAATGATGCCAACACTAATGCAAAAGGTAAACCATTTCTTCCCGTTTTGCCCTTCCATTGAAGTTCTTTGTGGTTTTTCTTCATGCTAAACCTATAGGGGTATTATAGTAATTTCATTTCTTCCCATTCTGCCCTTCCATTGAAGTTCTTCGTGGGTTTTTTTTTCATGAAAGGGTATTATTGTAATTTAATTTCTTCCCATTTTGCCCTTCCATTGAAGTTCTCTGTGGGGTTTTTTTTCTTCATGAAAGTGTATTATTGTAATTTAATTTCTTCCCATTTTGTCCTTCCATTGAAGTTCTTTGTGGGTTTTCTTCATGCTAAACTTATAGGGGCATTATAGTAATTTCATTTCTTCCCATTTTGCCCTTCCATTGAAGTTTTCTTCGTGGGTTTTTGTCTTGCTAAACCTGTAGGGGTATTATAGTACTTTAGTAATGAAATATATATATTTTTCTTATGTAAATCAAAAATTAAAGAAAAACCATTATATTTTGGGCAGTTTTGCAGTTTAACAACTAATACTTATATTTTTTTTTCCAATCAAATCACAAAAGTTTCGGAGATTTTATTGAATTGACCATTTTACCCTTGTGAAAACACTAAAGATTGATTGCATGTTATCAGGCAACAATAAATACAGGAGGGTATTTGTTAAACGCAGTCACAATTGAGCATTTTATCTTGCGACTTCCTTATCGATTCAAACTTGTAAGTTACACTTGTTCACATATTAATATAATAAAATCATAATAAGTTAGTTATATTTCATTTATTTTAAATAAATATAAACTTTATTTTTATTTATTTATTTCAGTCATACCCAAAATCTCCAAAAAAAGATGAGACTGAAATCCGTGACAAATTTGGGTTGGAATGGTCCGAACCATTGGTCACATTTGCACTATGCAGCGGTACCTGGTCTTCCCCTGCAGTAAGTTTTTTATTTTTTATTTTTTATTTTTTATTTTAGTATGGATAAATGACTTAATAAAATATTTGAGAAAATGAGTACAAATTTGTAAAAACTAAAAAGTTAAAGGATTCAACGAAAAATCTCATTTCTTTTACTTTCTTGATTAGCTCGTTTATATCCACAATTGTTAGTCCTTTAAAAAGTACTTTCTTTTTTTGCCACACTAGCTTTCTACTAACTTTATTTAAAATATATATATATTTATAAAGGTTTCTACTAACTTTATTTAAAATATATATATATATTTATAAAGGCTTTTTTAATAAGCAAACATTTATCATCATGTAATGAAATGTTTTACAAAGCTCCTTTCTTCTAATTAATCGTTTTGATATTGGTGTCGTTTTGATCAAATGTGTTTGTCATAAAAATAAAATATGTTGTTATAAAAATAAACATAAAAAACATATTTTAGGATCTGTATATTTTTTTATAATATTTGATATTGGTGTCATTTTGATCATCTTGACAAGTCCTTTTTTAATGATACTTTTTTTTATATATAAATTTTATTCATTTCTACTTTGTAGGGTAAAATGAAAATGTTATTGATGGGAGGGGGTAAAGTGTCAAAAAGATAAAATACAAATTAAGCATTTATGTGAAAATAAGTGGTTATTTATTTTTTATGTTTTTTATAATTAAAAAAAGAAAATCTTCATCTCCAATGATTAGAAAATCTTATTAAGTCCATTAACTAAAAAAACAGAAATATCTAAAACTCGTGATATTATTATAGGTGAGAGTATACACAGCGTCACAAGTAGAAAACGAGTTATCGACATCAAAGCGAGAATATCTTCAAGCATCATTTGGGATAACAAAAACAAATAAATTAATAATACCAAAAATGTTAGATTGGTATTTATTAGATTTTGCAAAAGATTTGGAAGCTTTAATGGATTGGGTTTGCCTTCAATTACCAAGTGAGTTAAGGAAACAAGCACTTATGTGTCTTGAAAAAAGAGGAAGAGGAATAGAACCTCTTGCGAATAAAGTTCAAGTCATGGATTATGATTATAAATTCAGGTATCTTATTCAAAGATGATAAAATTATATGCCATTTTTGGACACATGAAGTTGAAGATAAATCATATATTATGCATTAAAATAGAGCAATTCGATGTAATGATGTTACATTTTTTTGTTTTGTTATTGTTGTTGTGAAGAGTTTGTTAGTGTAGAATGGAAGGGGGTTTGTACATAGTACATATGAGTACAATATACATAAAGAAAAAAATTTGGGGTCATTAGGGTGTTGGATTAATTTACTTTTATTTTTGTATTTGTAACTTTTACATAAATTTTATTTTTAGAGTTGTTTATTTATGGAATTATGATTTTATGGGTTGATGAAATATTAAGAAGGCTCGCCTCTAGTCCTTTTGGTTTCTTGATATTGATTTGTGAACTCTCAGATTGTTTAGAAACATCATGCAACCCCTTGTCACTTATGCTTTTGAAAAATTTCATATTCGCCTCTAATTTATAGACAATTTGTATAATTTTAGTCCAATTTTGAATTTACAGGTCGAGGCCGGTTCTAATTATAATATTTTATAGACAAATTTCATATTCGCCTCTCATTAATCTTATAATATTTTATGAGAATAAATCTTTATATTATAACAATTTCATTGTAAAATTTATTAACGTGGCTAAAATGGAATGATACTTGTACGTGTCCTCTAATTTTTATTGTAAACTAGTGTGTGAGCCTGTGGTGAACCATGAGTCATCATTGTGGTTGTTCTTGTACATTTATTGAACTTGATATTACTAAAATGCATTTTGTTTTATTCACAAAGGATGGCGATGACAAAACGAAGCCCAAAACAGATGCATAAATCGGTTGACAGAAAAGAGACAAAAGGAATGTCAAAATGGTCAAAGGGACTGAAAGTGAGAAATGTTAAAACACGTGTGGCCAATCTGTAATGAAAAAGTAGTAAGATGAAAAAAGGGACAAAAAGAAGGCTAAAATGGTCAAAATGACTTAAAGTGACAAATATTAAAAGACATGTGGCCAATCTCTAATTACAACATGCTAGGGATTAAAATTGTCAAACTATAGAAAGTATTGTGGCAAAATCTTGAAACATAGAAAATAATGGGACTTAAAGTGACAAATATTAAAAGACATGGGCCAATCTCTAATTACAATATACCAGAGACTAAAACTGTCAAACTATATAAAGGATTGTGACAAAATTTTGAAACATACAAAATATGGACTAAAATGATCATAGAGTTATGGAGCAAATCTTGAAACATATAAAATATGGGAGTAAATAGCAGAACAGTAAAAGAATGGTGGATAATATGAAATAAATCCATATTCATTAATAGAGTATATGAATTCGAAAGACAATGTTTTTTAATCTAAATATTTAACATGCACATGCAAAAGGCACCTTTCACTGGCTACTTGTTTCAAGAAACAAAAACACTATTAGGGTGGAGACGGATCCAAAAGGGGAATACATTGGGTGGTTTGGCAAAAGGTATTGCCCTTAAGGAATTGGGGGGTTTGTAAGATATGAATTTAACACATAAATTTGAATCTGACTCATGAACTCGTAAAGCTGTATAATTAATCGGGTTAGACAGATTGAATTAAACAAGTTATGATGTCAATTAAACTATAATTAAACGGGTTACCCCTAAGGAATTGGCGGATTGAATTAAAAAATTATTTGCTAAATGGTGATGGAAACTAAAAGTAGAGCCAATGTATATGGGGTCTAAAATTATCATGTCAATTAATAAAATTAATGGTCATGATAATCTAATCACGGGCTTTGGTTTTAAGATCGGGCAGGATTTTGGTGGAGGATGGAATTAAACTACAGAAGCTATTCAAAAGAGAGGTTATAAATAGATCCGATATTATGTTTTGGAAATATGTGTGGAATTTGTAAGAAGCTCATGAATATAAGTGTTGGTTTTGAAAATCAACTAAAAGTTAGAAAAGAAGCTCATCATTATTTAATGTTAGTAATCAAATTTTGTATTGGAACCTTAAAGAATTCATATTAGTTTTGATCCACAAAAGACAAATAAGTCAACTTTTTAAACCTAAAACTATTTAATCTTTATGATTTAACTTATAATCACATTCACATTACTACATAATAGATTAATGGATCAAGAAAGGGCACACGAAAACTGTTCTAGTCATCTTCCAGTGACAATCATGGAAGCAGAAAGCGAATGCAACAAAATTTCTGAAAATGTTTTACACTGTTTGATTGGAATATTTTTAATGTTTTGATAAAAAATTAATCAAGTATAAATCAACCAAATTGTATGAGAGATTATGGTGTTGTAATCGAAGTAAGTATGCAAATCAAGAGAAAGTGACACATGTGGTTTATAAGGAAAGTCTTTGATCAATTCTAGGATCTCCGATACAAAACTTTGGGAGGTGATAATAATCACCTACCTTGCTTGATTTATGGACGTGTTCGGCAAAACTAACTGGTAGCGGGTAACTTGTGGCGGATAGCGGGTGGCTTGTAGCTTGTAACGTTTTATTAAACGCTACATGACGTAGCATTTGGATTTGGAGCGTTTTGTATAAACTAAACGCTAGAAGCTTGTAGTGCCGAACGAGACTTTCTGTTCAAAATGGAGCGTTTTGTCAAACGCTAGAAGCTAGAAGCTCTCAAACGCTACGTGCCGAACACGCCCTGTATTGATTAAAGAATGAATTACAAAGAATAGCTTGACTATCTAAATACAAATGATTGAGTGAGTGTAAAACCGTGTGTTGTGTGTGTATTTCACATGTGCATTTATACTTTAAATCCTATAACTAAAAGTTCGATTTTCCCGGGATCCCGTTGAATAGATATTTGCACATTGTTTTGACTTTGTATTTCTGGGTCTTAAGCTTGATTAAAACGTTTCTTTGGATTAGATAAGTATCTTGTTGATTATTTTTTCACATGCGAAAAATTAACAAGAAATATATCCGTTATTCGTATTAGTAAATAATATTGATATATTCAGGATCCTGACTTGTTGTAATGTTTGTGATACGATCCTGATTTAATTTAAGATTCAGGATCCTAGACATGTTTCAGGATCTTGACCCCTAACAATTGTTCTCAAATTATACCTGCAAAATATTTTGGATTAATTCTGAATATTTGAAATAGTATAATTTTAGTATATAATTAAATTAAGATAAGGGTTCCAAAATTCAAACTGTAATGGATAGAAATCTAGCCGTTAGTCTAGGCATGATTATCTATCAAATCGTTTCTCTTTCATCTGTGATTTTCGAATAAATAGGGCACATAAGTTCCCGATCATTCTTTACGTCTTCTAGTTTTCATCCAAGGGTTTACCAGTTATCTCTGAAAGTATTCTTCTCGCTCTTTTCTCTTTAATTTTCTTTTTCTTTGACTATAGGAAAGAAGGCAGTCTGTTCTCGTGCTAGCATCACCGCCTCCTCTAACGGAGACTTTAGTGATCAAAAGATCTTGGCTTACGAAGAGACATGCTCTTTTGAAAATGATAATATTGAATCCCTGAAAGTTAATGGGGCTTTTCCGACTGGTGCCATTTTTAGGCCTTTCGATGCTCTGGCTTAGCCAGATTTCGTTTCTCCATCTTGGGTTTGTTTTCCCAAGTACCCTTTTACTTTAGGTCTTTCTTACCCTTTCCTTGGAGTTGTTTCTAAATTTTTTGAGGTTACCCAAATTTCCTACATCCAAGCCATGTCAGTGGTTTGGAGCATCCTCTTCTGGATTGATCGATTAAATCATTCCATGGATCTAGACATTGGTTTGTCTGAATTAGCCCACGTGTATGATCTTTCAACTTCTGGTTCTTCCTGTTTTTTGTTCAAAGTCAAAACAAACAACTCACATCTTATTTTGAAATCCAAACAAAACGATGGTCCTTGGAAAGAAAAATATTTCTTCGTGAGACTTGATTATGTTCCTAATGGAGATCTTCTGCCAAAAACCCGAGTTAAAAATGGTATGATTTTATTTTATTATGTTAAGGATCGTGAAATTCATGCTTCCTTATTTTGTTTGTTCTGATGCAGCTTTCAAGTTCAAGGAAGTTGCTCCAGCCGCTGAAGATACTAAGGAGAAGGTTGAAAGTTTTCTTGCTTTACCCGAGGCTGAAAGATCCTTCAAGTTCGAACAACCCAACGTCCAAGAGAGTTCCTGCGCTACAGTCACAATCTTGACCGGTAAGGATCTCTTGTCTGTTTATTTTGAAGGATCCTGAACTGATGAAGACTCTTTGTAATTTTCAGGATCCAAGGCTACACGCTCTAGCACCCGTTTCTTCCTATCTAATTTTGATACGACTATGTCTAGTGGCTAACTGGTGGTGAAGAAGGAGAAGGCATCATCTTCTCTTTCTCCGAAGAGAGCCTCGATTGATCTGACTGTCAAGACTTCAGGATCCCGGAAGAGGAAGTCGGTTGAGTCCTTGGATTTAACCTCGGAGCGGACGAGGCGATGATGAAGTTGATCTCTTTTTCACAATCTGTAAGTATCTTTGTGCTTTTTTCTGTTTAACTTCAATTTACTTACCGTAGCCTTTTACAGGTTGTTGATTACGCCTCTCGATCCACCGAGGATCTTAAGGTTAAGATTGACCGGGCGGAACATGCCTTGAAAAAGCAAGAGGGGATCAACAAAGAGCTTTTGCAGAGGGTGGCGAAGCTGAGTAAGGAGAAAGTGGAGAAAATGGAGGAGTATGAGTTGGAGATCGAAGAGGTGATTGCTGAGGTTAAGAGCAGCGCCGCTGAGGCCATCTGGGAGGCAAAGATCAAGCTGGCGGAGGATATGGAGAATGCAATATCCTGGAATGTGGTCGGCTGGCGTGAAGCTCTAGCTAAGTTGACTGGAAAGTCTGTTAATGCTAGTCAGGATCCTGCAGAGAAAAAGAAGAGAGAAGAGGGTAGCACCATTGTGTTCTCTCCCGATCTCTCATCGATGATTTCGTAGGCGAAGGCAGCACCATCTTGAAGGCTAAAGATAGGCAGAGCCATGAATATTTGTTTGCGTGAGAGAGAAAGGGATATAGAGAGAAAGATAGAGTCGGTAAGGAAGAGACAATGTGATTTCTTAAATTAATTATTAGGAAATAATATATTTTATCCCCAATATACACCTTTGATATTTTTTAAAAGTCTAGAATACCATTAAAATTGCTGATAATTACAATTATATCATTCTTGATCTAGGCCACTAAATTTTTTTAATCTACGGTTCCACTTTTAGTTTTCAGGTTTCCAAGAAAACATAAGTTAAAAGAAACGGTCACAAAGGAAAAAGTGCGGCAACATCTCGTGCAAGGTGGACACCGCACCACCACATACCGGTTGGTGTGGTGTTCACCGCAGTCCGCGGTGTGCGGTGCACCGTCTAGTGTTATAACCAAACCTCCGGTAACTAATGCATGAACAAGAAAATTAGTATCCCGTGTAACCACACCTAAAAAGCTGTAACCAGTCACGATCGGGTCTTCCCTGTAGGGTTCGAGGTTTTTATCCTTTTTTGACAAATATTGTTAAGTGGAACTTGTAAATTATTAACATTGTTAACAAATTTATTTAACCGTGTTTTTCTATCCCGAACCAAGACCCAAAACCTTTCGAGCACACTTCAATAAGCAATTAAAAATATACTTCTCTTTAAACAAGCTTTAACCTATCTCTTATACAACAAGCCTCGTAAAACAAAAACCACCATTTGAATCCGTATACACACAAATCAAATCTAAATTGTCGGGGGTATCTTAGTCTTTACACACAAAAAAAACCTACAACACACATTCATCACTCACCCAAAAGGCGAAGGAACAGGAGCGGGTCCCACAAGTGCATCGGACCGCTTAATACTCCCCATACCACAAATAATACACCCGGGAGAAGCCAAAGCCGAAAACTTAGCCCCACAAACATCACAAACATCATACCCAATAGTCGACAATCGGCTAAGTGTTGCACCACAGAATTGTGAAGGGTCTTCAAGTGGGTCGATTGACTTATTGGTCAACCCCCTTTGTAAACATATCTCAATCAAGCTTCTTAATTCATCCTGTCTACCCGGTGGAGCTTTTGATAAAAGTAATTCAAGCATTTGTTTGGCATATCCGTAATTTTGCACGTCCATGTTTCGTTTTATGGCTGTTCGTATGCAATTTATTCTGTGTTTTGCTTGGAGTGGTAGTGACCCGAGGTGACGTGAGAGTCTTGCCATTTCGTCTTTTGCGCTTATTGCACTTGCACCTTGGACCTTTTGTAGTCGCCCGATTTCCTGAGGGTGGATTGTGTAAATTTGAGTTCCATTTTCAGTTTTAAAAAAGTAAATAATAATAATACCTGAAGTAGGGTGACTGCGATTTTATACTGAGCACAAATTGTGGCTTGTGCCTTTACATCAGCTCCACGAGAATTGTCCTTTGCTAATGCAAGAAAAGCTTCATCAAAACATGATAATGCATCTGGTAGTTGATTCTGTTCAAGATGCACTAGCCCAGTCTTGAAACAAATTGAAGCACCAGCCCCACGTGGAACCTATTATTTATCACAACAAATTTTAATAATGCATATTCTTTATTCATTTAGTTACATTTTTGGTCCCTCAATCTACCTCATTTTTGCAATTCTCATCCCCAAAAGGTTTTTCTTGCATTTTTCATCCTTATTTGACTATTTTTTTGGTCCCTGGGTATAACAGATTTTTGCAACTTTGTTCCCAAAAATAGTCACGTTTTACTTAGAAACCACAAGGACCAAAATTGTAAGAGACGAAAGTCCGGGACCAAAACTGTAATTCACTAAATTTTATATGATGATAAATTTTAAAAAGGAAAACTTATCCACCTGTCCAGGTCGCACAGATGTTGGAGGAGGAGGCTCAGAAGCTTTCACTACATTCACAGCTCCCGGACCTTCAAGGGAGCTTAAATCAAGCGGCTGGGTCAACACCGGAGCGTTGACCACCGCCTGAAGTGGCGGCATGGCAACAGGTGGAGGAGCCATGGATTGTGGCGGCACACCGCCATCCGGAAGTCCAAACGACTCTGTAGAAACCGGAACATTCACAGGCACTTGAGGAATTTCACTAGCGGGAGGCCCCGATGGTCTCCCTTGAGGATTCTGATCGTATCTCGAAAGATAAGTGCCAGGTGGCGGCAATGCAGCCGCCACCTGTAACGACGGAATAGTATTCTGAAAAAAATCCTCCGGAATCGGCCGCGGCCCCACCGCCGCTCCGGTTGCCACCGCCGGACCACCTGCCGGAAACACTGGCGGCGTTTGCGTGAAATAACCGTCCCCAAACGGATCAACCGGAGCTGAAACTGGAGGATTGTTTACGGGTTGAGGAGTATTAATATTAATATTATTATTAATATTCATTCCGGTTGATGATTTAGTTCTAATTGGTGCACCCAAAGCATCAGCTAATTTAAACTGTTTAGTCGCTTCCTTAATTTTATCCAAATCCACAGTAACAGGAGCCGCGGTTTTTTCCTTTATCTTTATACGCAATTTAGTTTTGGAAACACCCTCTTCATCGCTACTACTTCCATCGCCAGCTGTCCCATACATCGATTTCTTAAATTCCTCTTCAGCTTTCGCCTGTTCTACGTTCGAATCCGCCTTCGTAAGAGAATCAAGATTCATCAATTGAGATGATGACGTGTCACTAGAAGTGGAAGCAACGACAGACGTGGAAGCAACGATTTTATTATTATCTTTAATTTTCACTAAACTATCGTCGCGAACTTCGACGATATTACCCCTGCCTTTGATTAATCCTAGGTAAACTCCGATGTGATCGGTTGACAACGAGGGTATGCTGCCGTCGTCTGTTCTCATATACGGCATAACTTCAGCCGCCAATTCCCATTGGGGGATGGTTTTTGTGCTCGCGGGTGTTTTAATTACCCAATTGCCCCCGCCCCATTCGGGTCCTTTAGGAACCATGGATTCAGCAGCGAAATTGGCGAAAATACCCTGGGTCCAACCGGTGGAACGGACTCTCAATATTCTTTCACAATAGCGTCTTAATTCTGAATCGGTGTTTTCTTCTTCTAGTCTTTGAGCAAGGCGTCGCATTGCGCTAGGGTTGAGGTGGCAGATGAATAGGTCGAGTAGGCTTTCGTAATCGGATATGACTTCGAATGTTTCTTTTGCACTGTCGAATTGACCATACCTGTGAATTTTTAATAATTAATAATTAATAATTTGCTAATTTTAAGAACGTATGTGAGAAAAGGAGGTTGATGGAATTTGTACTTTATGCAGGCGTATCCGAGTTGTCGGAATCGGTGGAATAAGTGGGAGGTTGGAGGGCATTGTGGGTAATCTCTTGATCGGAGGAATTCGTCTTTTAGAACAGATAAAGCGGTTGAAAAGCGACGCGCTTTGATAGCATATGATCCTCGTAGCACCTATTCAAACCAAAATTTTGACTAATAGAATTTTGAATTTTGAAAGGGAAATATAATGTCAGATTTTTAGTCACCTGAGTAAACTGAGGCCCTGATTGTGACAACGATACAGCAAGATCACCACACACAGGTTCACCAGTCGCAAGAATATCAAGAGATCTTGGAGTAATCCGTAAACTATCAAACCTTTAAAAAAAGAAATTATCCACGTCATCACATAGTCAGATTTTTCAAAAAAGGACTATAATAATGTGGATGAAATAAAGATTTGAAACCTTGATGTTATTTGGTATAATATCTCTGACAAGTCAAGCTTCTGTTCAAAAATTTGTTGCATGGTGCCAAATCCAATAAGAAGAGGTTCTAGAAGCCCTACAAGACAGTGTTTTATATCCATGCCCTTTTTTTGTCTTGGATTTATTTCAGTTGGATTTGCAAGCAATAATCTATCATTCAAAGTCCCGATTAGCACTGCATTAGGCATGCTGCTGGAAAGAATGGTTCTCACTTTTCCATCCCACCCAAGAACACTGATGGCAGTGGTGGTGGAAAATAAAAGAGCGGGCCCCACCCAAAGAAGAGATCTATAGTGATTTTTAGTTAAGAATCCAAAAAAATAAATAAAAACTTAATAGCTGATTTTTTTCAATTTTGGTTCCAAAAAAGTTTCCTTTTGCAATTTTGATCCTTATTCGAGCTTTTTGTAACATTTTTGGTCCCTGACTATTTTTGGGACCAAAATTGCAAAATTCAGCTATACTCAAGGACCAAAAATGTAATTTAGTCTAAATATTTGAAATATGTGAGGATATTGAAGGAAGTCCTTTGTCGAATTTTGTACAAGTGCTTGCAAGAATATCAAGGTCAGCAGAGACTATGAGTACTCTCTGTGTAGTTAATATTCCAGCAACAGAGCCCCTAAGAGTTTCTTGCCAGTGAACCTGAAAAGTTATAAACATATTAAACAGTCAGACTAATAATTTCTAAAGTAATTTACAACTTTGGTCCCTGAATTTAGCTGTTTTTCCCCAAAAAGTCCTCTTGTGATATTGATCATTATTTTTGAAGTATCCAACAATTTTGGTAATATAGCATCCTACTTCCATTTCTTTCTATTACAGCATGGAAAAATCACAAAAGGGTAATATAGTCATTGTACTTGGAACAGGGACCAAAACATTAACATTCAGGGACCCAAAACACAACTTACTAGTAATTTACATTTCTGGTCCCCAAGTTTAGCTAATTTAAGCAATTTTCAACCCAAAAAGTTCTCTTGCAATTCTGGTCCTTATTTTCAAGTATTCTACAGGCATGATGAGGGGGGTTTAATTATTTTTTTTTTAAAAACATTAAGTAAATAACAAATATTTATAAAAAAATCAGAAAAGTCTATTTGGAACAAGGACGAAAATCGTAACAAAACCACAAATAAGGACCAAATTTGCAAAAATGAGCATAAATCAGGGACCAAAAATGTCGTTCATTCTAACTTCTATATGCAATACAACATAGAAAAAAGTTTAGTTATCAACCTGCAAAACAATCTCATTTGGCTTCAACTTGATTGACTTTTTCCCTTCACCTTTTGTTGACATATTAGGTCCATCACCAGTAGCAATGCTGTATCCTTGAACAAGCTTTCCCATTCCAATTTTGTCCCCAAAACATGCAAACATCAAAGTTGACTCTACAATTCACAGTTGACTTTGTAAGTAGTTTACTACAAACAGAATTAACCAGGAAATTTTTTTTTTTTCACTTTTGCTTACCAATTGGAGTAGAAAAAATTCGGTCAACTTCAGTTTCAAAAGTAAACTGAAGTGGGCCCTTGATAGAAGACACATCAAGTTCTTCATATGGTTTTTGATCATCTATCATGTTTTTTTCAGCATCTGGTTTTGGAGAGCCTCCAGGTAATGTATATACAGAAAGTTCAATTTTGTCTTCATCAAGAATGGCAAATTGTCCATCATTTAGCCCAATAAATGCAACATCTCGACCTGAAAAGTTTATAAAAATCATGATTACTAAATTTTATGCACTTTTAAATTATCATTTAAATTTGTGAAAATCCTAAACTGACCTTTGATTGTATTGGCTTTACTGTTGGATGATTGAGAGTTTGTGTTTTCCCAATAAAGAACAACTTCACTAGAAGCACCATTAAACTCATAAACCACAAGAAACAAGTGTTGCTTTCTACTGTGGAGTAAATACTTTCCATGGAACTCAACATGCCCAGGCATCTGAAAGTAGATAACTAAAATCTCAGTATAAAATAAAAAGTTTGTGTATTGTTTCAAAAGGACAAAAACGTCATTTTACCGATGGAAAAAGCTTCTTGTAGATAGTTTCGGCTCCAGTAGAGAGATTGTATGCCATAAGGTTTACACCTTCTATGTAAAAAGCTCTGGTGGGATAATGAAGAACACGATTCTCTTTACTGAAGAAATTTAGCTCCAAATGAATTGGCTGTTACAATGAGAAACATTTTTAGATTTCATGATCAATAATTATAGCTAAAAAGTGATTATGATTTTTCTTTTATTTTTTGTTTGCATAAATGCCATTGATGTTTTAACTTTTTTCAGTTTCAGCTATCATTGATATACAAAAAAATGGTTACCAGGTTTAATTTGCTTACATGGACAATTTTTAATGAGGTGTCCACATAAGCATGTGTTATACTGATGGGCATTTTTTTGACATTTTAACATAACATCACTTTTTTGGTAATTTCAAGGGTTAATTTCATAAAAGACCTTATATTTTGTGTTTTATTCCGGATTAAACCTCAATTTGATTTTTTTCTTGAAAAAGGCCTTGCATTTTTTCATTTTTCCCGGTCTGGACCTTTTACTCATTTTTTTTCCAAAAAAACTTGTAAAATGTGAGGGTTTTTTCGAGAAAAACTAAAAAAGTTGAAGGTTTATTTGGAAACAGATGGAAAGTTGAGGGTTTTTTCGGAAAAAATACAAGGTTTTTTCAGAAAGAAAAAAACAAAGATGAGGTTTAATTCGGAAAAAACAAAAAATATAAGGTCTTTAATGAGATCCTAATTTAAAATACTTATATGGACATTTCCCTTGCCACATCAGATGCCACCTCATTAAAATTTGTCTATGTAAGCAAATCAAATATAGTATTAACAGGTTTTTATAGGTCAATGATGGCTGAAATGGAGAAACTTTTAAATAGGAATGTGCTTTTATAAAAAAATAAACAAAATAATCATAATGGCTTTTTAGGTAAACGGCTGATAATGTAATGGCGTTTCTGTAATTTTCCCTAAATTACCTGGCAAACTGGAACATCTTTCAGATAATTTTTAGTATCTAAAATGGTGATGAGAGGCATGCGTGATATTGGTGCACTTTTTGCATGTCCTTCCATGAAATGCTGAAAAAGCAAGATATTTATTGAATCAGAGAATGTTTTTTGAATTTTGATTAAAAAGATTTATAAGTTATGAAAGTAAACATACACTGTAAAGAAAAGCCTTCCGTGCTATGTCCGAGATTGTAAGCTGACTGGGCCTAAATTAAATTCAAGATCAAGAAACCATAATGTTGAAATCGGTAACACAAAGAAAAAAGGACTAAATTACCCTTTTGTATGATGCTCTTGCAACTGGGCTTGAAGTTGATGGTCTGCTAAAACTCCTGATGATCCAAGGGCAGAAAGTTTCTCCTTAATTGCAGATGCTGTCAAAATGATAAATCACATGCAATTTAGTATAAAAGGGTAATTTTGTCATTTTTATACTTATACAAAAAGTATTTTCTGAAAAAGAGGTTAAAAACTTAAAGGGTGAAAGAAAAATCACCTGAAGATCCCCTTGCACTTTGCAAAACTGCAAAAAGTTGCTTCCTTCCTTCCCTAGTGTAAGCAGCTTTATTTTTTGCATTGTCGCCACCTGTCATATTCTGCTAGAAAGAATTAAAAAAAGTCAAACTTTTTGATATCACCAATCTATTCATATAGAAAAAGTCAACAACACTTAACTGCAAACATCAAGGCTGCTAGATTTAACTTTGGGTGGACTTCAAGACTTCTAATTCTTGGTAATGGATAAACAGTTTCACCCCCTTGCTGTGATAGCAGACGTGGGATATCAATCTGTTCAATTGCTGCAAAAGATTAAAAAAAAAAAAAACAAGATTAATGCATCTACACTAATAAATAAAAATCTTTTTTTCCACATGTCACACTCTCATTCATTTTACTCTTATCAGTAATAAAGGTAAGTACATTGCTTATGTTGTTAAAAGAGTAAAATAAGTTGCTATTTTTCTGCAATTTGCTCATTATATTAAAACCAAACGTATCCATTATTATCCACCATATTAGAAAAGGAAAGAAATAATAAACCCTTACATGCAGACTCAAAAAAGTTAGCTTGAACTAGAGTTCTATTGGTATTTGCTGCACTTCTTGTTTTCCAAACTTGAAGGCTTCCATCTTTGGATAAGGTAACAAGTACACACAATATTGGAAGCCATGCAACTGATATAATTGGTTGTGAACCCACTTGTGTTCTGCAAAGGACATTTAGATGTATAATTAAAAACTAGCATATAAGGGTATATTTGGAAAACATGTGCAATAAGCTCAAAAACTAAACTAACTTACATGCCAATCATGAAAGGTCTTTCAGTTGAAACATCCCAAGCAAGAAGAGTACCACGCCTATCACCAACAAAAATCCATTCTAGAGTTGGATGAAAAGCAAAGGCTCCAGCACCAATCAGCTTAATGGTGTTATCAACTACATAAGATTGATCACATATTCATATCAAAATAAATGTATGTGCTTTAGGTTGTACATTAAGAAAGTGTAAACAGAAATTGTTGAGTGTAAATCTTACGTTGTAAAGTGTAGAGAACAGCATATGTATGGATGTTATAAGCTCGAATCAAACCATCTGCATAGCCCACGTACTGAAATGGAGAAATGAAATTGATATAAAGTTGTTTTTAAAGACCAAAAAGAAAGAAAAATCAACACTTTGGAGAATGATAGAATATCAGAATAGTTAGTTTATAGAGAAGAAAGTTTACCAATACAGCAAGGCGAGGATGGCAAGCAAGATTCACAATTGGTTTCTTTAAATCTGTTTTTATTTTTGTTGGTGCTCTTCCTCCTTCAACAGTTCCAACAACTTCATGCAGCAAAAAAAGAAGATTTAGATAAGTGAATTTGGTGATGCTGGACATGATGAAGGTGTGAAGTACTGATTGTAAAGGATCAAAGATGAAAACTGATGAACAAAAGTAAACCTGTTACACTCATCCTGCGATGGAAACCAAAGAAAACAACTGGTTGTAGAGGGGTTAAAGCCAGATGGACTTCTGTGTCGATTGTAATACGTTCCATCTTCTTTTCAGGCGAATGCAAAACCCATGTTTGCTCTGTGTCAAAATCACATGATCTGATTGTACAATCCTGCAATAAGTGTATAAAGTTTACATACATTGGAACATCAATACTTCAAGTGTAGATGGTGGGGTGATGGATTGAAAAGATCAAACCATATAGCATCAAGGTTAGTACAATCAATTTGTCAATATTCAGAACTTTTAGCTGTCTATGCATCAGACAAAAGAAGTTGTGTTCGAATTGACAGGAACTGTGTTGAAAATCATGAATTGGGGGAAAGAGAAGTAGAAAACTAACCTCAAGTATAGCTACGACTGCATGTCCACTAGTGGGACTATAAGACATTCGAACTACAGGAGCACCAATGTTGATTGAAGATATCTTGCTACCAGTGTATGCATCAAACTCTGCATATACACATAAATTGTTAATACTACGATCATTACTGTGGTCCTATCACTTCAAAATAGTGACAAGTTCTACAATTCCTCTCATATATTCTACATGTCCCAACGATTAGCAAGCTAAAAGCAACAAGGGCACCGTCCTCTGAAAGATCTATTTTGCTTAAAAGTTGATTTGAACATACAATTAAACCATAAAATCAAGTATACCAATGATGTAATTTCCAGCAGCGACGGCAACCAACGCTTGACTGGGATGAAATGTGGCAGCGTGAGGTTGGAAAGGTTTCGAACTGCGACCAACATGCCGCAGATCCAAATGCTGCACTGTCGTCCACTCCATCGATCTTTCAATTATTGATCCTTCGACAAAAAGCAATACAGTCTACATGAATAGAAACAGAAAGAGTGATGAGAAAAAAAAAACGATCCAATCAAATCAAAACGGAATTTGACTAGTTAGAAAAGGCAACACAAACGTGAATACATCAAAGTTACCGATTCCAATCAGATCGATGAGAACTAGTCTGTAATTGTGTGGAATTAGAAGATATTGCTTACCTGTAAATTGCTATGGAGGATGGAAGCTCATATGATGAACACAGGGAGAGAGACAGTGAACGATGACGGAAAAATTGGTGTCTGTGATTAAACGGAGAGAATAATAGAACGGTCCAGCCGGTTAGTTTGATTGACTCATTGACATCTGAAAATGGTCCGACCCGACTAAAGCACATTTAGCCCAAAATACTTGCTAGGCCCAAATCTTTACGGCTTCTTAAGCAGCTCAATTAGGTTTATTAAGTAGCCCAAAACACTCTCTTAAATGATGAGACTAGCCACTAGGGACGAAATATGGATTTAAAGGGAATTAGTTGTTCATAATTTTAATTACCATTCTCTTTCAAATTATTTACCAAGTAAAACAAAATGAAGTAACAATATATATATATATATATATATATATATATATATATATATATATATATATATATATATATATATAGGGAAATGATCAAATGAGAACACCTAAAAGGTTAAGAACGTGAGAACAATTCTGGACCAATCAATATATAAGGGCATATTAGTAATTATGTTTTTAAATTAAATTATAATAAAATAAGATTTCCCTAAAATTTAGGGATTATGTTTTATTGTTACCTGAAAAAGAACTTAATGCTTTATATTATTATTATAAGTGGAGATGTTCCTTTTATTTTTCTTAAATAATCTTGTATTATTGATTCATACGATTTCTATCAAAATGATTAAACCCAGATTTTGGTATATAATTGTAGTGGTTTTGATATTTAACTCTATTTTTATCAAGATCGAAAAATAATTTTCTGGTATATTCATTAATGAATTAAAACATACATATAATGAATTTTTAAAAATATCATTTAACCGTATTATGTTAATCATGAATGATTATAAGTAAAAATAAATATTAGAAAAAATAAAACATCATGTATAGATCAATAACACATTCAATACATTTGGAATCCTAAATGAATATAACGCAATAAAAAACAATGTAATCGTAAATGAATATAACGTAATAACAATACAAAAAAAATACATTTATAATAAAAAATGAATAAAGCATCATTTATACATCTACATTAAAATGATGATTCATCTTCAGCCATATCTATCAACACCGATTTTGAATGATCTTTTTTTGAACTTGTTTAAGCAATGTCAATATGTATTTTGTAGACGTTCACTTTTCCTTGTTACTGGTCCTACAAAATGAAAAATCAAATTACATGAATTAAGTCATGTACAAACAATAAAGAAGAATGTTATATTCATTATATCTTTCATTTATATACTACCAAAGTAAGTCAAAAGTTGCTTACAAATGATGATATTTTAAATATTTATTAATGGTTTCACAAATACATCAATGAATAAGCGAAAATAACAATGACACTTTATTTATTATGGCTTAATCACAAATAAATAAAAAATACAATTAAAATTTACCTAATATTTGTTAATCATAAATGATTAGAACAAAAACACGCTTAAAGTTTACTTAATAATTGTAATATTATTTTCTGCCTATTCGACAATGAATGAAAATAAAACCATAATGTTGATCAAAATATGAACACGTGTGTACGTTGATATCAAGAATTACTAAGGACTTTTCACAAACACCTAATATGCAACTTCACATTTTTAATTCTAACAGAATTATAAAATACTTTTTTATCAAGGATTAAATAATTTAAATTGAACATAATATATCTAAATAACCCAAAAATCAATTACTTACTGATTGTAAAGGTGGGCCATAAGACAAAATTTTAAAATCTCAACATTTGCAAAACGAACTTCTATGAGAGTATATCTTGGAAACCTTGACCTGTGAATTTAATTTTGACCATATTTTCTCTAGTTGTATACGTCTCCTGGGAAAAGAGTCGTCATAAAAATATGCTGACTACCTTTTTTTTATGTTCGACAGTCGCCTTCATCGCAATCATCTCCATTGAAGATCTGACGGAGAAATATCAAAGAGATTGTTCGCCTTCATCACATCTTCGATCGTCGCTTTCGGTCGGAATTGCGTACGCTGATGGTGGTTGTGGCGCAAAATGATGAAGATGATGAACAGATTTTAATGGTGCTCAAAGATGGTTGCGGCGTGATATGATGAGGAGGATGATGCAGCTTTATTGATAAAACCTAGGTATAAAGAGAGAACGAGAGAGATACGGGAAAATAAGAGGAAATATGTGAGAGAATAAGAAATTATAGGAAATTAGAAAAAGTTGTGATTACTATTATGCCCATTTGACAATTTAAAAGTTACATTTTAATACCAATAATTTTAGAATTTACATAAATGGCTCGTTTGATAATAGCCATGGATTTATATATTTAGATAGTTCAGATCTGTTCTCGCGTTCTTAACCTTTTTAGTGTTTTCGTTTGATCCTACTATATATATATATATATATATATATATATATATATATATATATTTGAAATGAAGAGCTATAGGCTAATAATGGTCTATACACATTAACAACAATCTAGTAATCTAGTGGGCTACTATATATTATATACATGTATGCTAACACTTCTTTCTTGTCTCTTTCGGTTTATTCATGTATGTCATCCATTTTGAAACCGTTTTAATTTCTTTAGATTCTTCTCCAAAAGTATTTGTGTTGAATCTTGAAGTGTTGGTATGAATTTGAATCATTTAGATTGATAATATTATGAATCTGCACGTAAATAGCATTTAAACCAAATTAGACACCCTTCTATTATTTTATGTGATGTTTTGTTTGTTGACTTTGAATTATAGAAGCTGACATACACTGTTCATAAGCACAACTTATAATTACAATTCATCCCTTGCTTGTCCTCTAAATGGAATACTAGCATTGATCACATAGTTAAAATGACTTATATATCCCTACTACACTCACAAGGCCACATTTAAGTCAGCACTCAACTTATGCACATTTCTCCCTTTCTTACTTTGAATGTAGACATGATTGTATAAATTTTCAAAGCAAGCTAAGGGTGGTAAGTTCATCGATATAACTTGAGTAAATTTCTATCAGCACTCAACTTATGCACATTTCTCTCTTTCTTCTTTGGTAAAGGAATATGGTAACAAATATTTGAAAGTTATATTGAAGTCATCTAGAATTACAGTGTTACAAGTTTAGCAGACTAATAGAACACCAGTTACGCACAAACTTCTATATTACAATATATTTGTACAACATACATACCCATCTAAACAAAACTAACTAGAGTATACGTAAGAGTAAGACTAATTCTAGTTTCCCAAATAATCAAACATGACCCATGAATCTCAAAATAACATCAATATCATAGCACTGACACTTTTCTTGAAGATCTGTTCATGGGTACTCGACATATAGGGCAACTTCGATTAACCAACAACCACTTGTTGATGCAATAGCCATGGAAGGAATGTTGGCAGGACACCAGAACTCGGATTTTCTCGTCCTTGTTGAACTCCTCAAGACACATCACACAATTATCGTTTTTGCTTGTCGATCAAGGTTTGCTTCTTGTATCACTAACGCCACCACAAGATGGTGGAGGACATGCGTGTTTATTTGCGTTTGGGTTGGTGGTGACATTATTCCGAATTCAATATCTTGATCATCTTGGACGTGGCCACGATGATGTTTAATGTAACACTTGACACAAGCAACACAAGTTAACCAGGTAACGTAAGAGAAGAACCCTACAGTACAAACTATATATATGAGCAACGAATGACCAGTCATGGCTGATGATTAGCTCAGGTTATGGTTTCACTTGTAACTGTGAGTCTGTGATCATATATTTATATATAATGGGATGAAGATTCAAATAAGGAAAGAAAAACCAGGTTGATCCGTGGCATGCAAGATTAGTTCGTTAATCTCTAGCTAGTAGTATTATATAAGGAAACATCTTGTTTGATCTTTTATATTAAATTGTTTTTTTTAATTATCTTTTTACAATTATAATCTTAAAGGAAACTGCCTTAATGAGCTTATTTTGTTTCAGTGGAATCCTAAGATGGATAGGATTATAGGAATATGATTTCGTATTTGGTAGAAACCGGGCCCTAGTTTTTGTAAACGGGCCAAGAAAGCGGGTTATGGACCGTGATCGGGTAAAGAAGACGACGGGTTTATTACACTACAAGAATAACAATGTGTACAGGCGACACCTATCCTGACGACATATGTCGTCAGTAAAAGTCTAGCTATCCCGACCACATGTCGTCGGCACAGTATTTTCCAACTTTGGCCCTACTTCTTTGACCGGAAAAACTAAGCAGACGACATGTTGTCGTCGTAGATTCGGCGGCAAGGGGAAAAACCTTCGCGGTATATTGAAAACCTATGTCATAAAAATTGTAGACTAAACGTCACGTAGGCTTAACTGTGGATTAAATCCCAAACTATAAAAAACCATAAAATGATACAAAATGTCAAAACAGGATCTCATAAAATGAATCACACGATGACAAAAAATCATGTAAAATCAACTATGGACAAAAATTAACCCTATAAAATTGTAGGATGCTATAAAAATGTCAAAGTAGGATGTTATAATTTAACCACCTTATGACCAAAAAAACAAGTAAAATTACCCACACTATTGAAGTCTTTCATTTGCAGAACACCCTAAAACTAAATTCATAAATAATATACAACCGTAAACCAAATTAAATTTCGGATGTGTAATTGTTACCGACTTGGAGTGAGATATCAAAAAAGCATCTTCCAAAGGTTCTAAGTGTCGTGTCATATGTATGGGATATAGGAAGTAGCTTATTTATTATATATAGAAGATAACCAATTTATAGGTAACCTTTTTACCTTATTTTATTTTTTAACTCCAAATATCCTTTACGACAAATCATAAATTAGCTTATTTTTCACCATCATCCAGTCGTTGGCAATTCTTGATTCATTATCATTTATGTGAGATTTGACTGAGTATAATTTTTGATAAAAAGATACATCGACCCAGTTCCTGGTACGTATTTTAAAATAAGTAAACTCATGTTTTGCTCTGGGACTCGTCGAGTAGACTTGACTTTGGATCGGCAGGATAAGTGACCTACTCGACGAGTCGGGAGACAGACTCGACGAGTAGGACTGTCTGGATGAAACCCTAATATTTGGGGTTTGCCCCCTATTTAAACAACTTATAACGCCCCAACCCAGCCTCCATT